ATATACTTTCACAGTGAAGTGATAAACAGATACGTGTAGATATGCACCAACTATTGAATTTTCGAATATTCGAATCTACAGGTGTACAATACTCACATGGTGTGATGATGGCCACTCCGCTCACCTCCAAGTACTTAAATTCTTTAGAGTCGGAACCTGGAGGGCTTCGCGACCACACGCTTGCTTCACTACTACAACATGCGAGAGGCCGGAAACCTTCTGCTGGTGAAGTATATTGAACTGCAGAAGACTTAGTGACCACCGTACTGTAGTCATACAGTGCTACTAAAGCACCTACATACATCTGCTCAAAAAGAAGATATCGCAGATTAGCAGCTGTTCGCCAGCTTTAATATAACATCATACCATTGCAATCGAAAGAATAGTTCGGCCTGTGATATGTACTGGTACGTAAAAACGAAATGAGACATTTCTTAGAACACACGAGTAAAGGATATCGAAGCAGAGGCATACAGGGTCGTAGATGGCCAGTTCAAGGGGAAGAGCACCAGTACAGTCTTCAAGGAATAAATCGCCAACTAGGTTGTCCAGCTTAGCTCTGTTTGATTAGTGATGATCAGTACAAAATAGATTGGTGACAACCATAACGGGGAAAGGAAAGTGCTGTGAACAAACTGGCTTGGGTTTCCATATAGCCAAGTTCTAAACAAGTGAAATTACGTGTGCACACTTCCATGCTCAAAGGCGTTCGAAGAGTGCGCTGGTTAAACATAACTGCATATCACCGACAACACTAAGACAACATAATACTCTCAAAGGTCATGGCGGACCACACATACGTCACAGGCTGATACGTGATGACTCCAACCAAGAAGGTGTGTTCAGCGGAGTAGTCTGATTGGCGCTGTGGTGATGCGAGGTTTCCCAGTTGACAGTTTTCGAAGCCTCTTTCTGTCGAGTGAATTATGACGCGAGAAAAAGCAGAATGTTGAATAATTGCCACAAAACATATAAGATCACAACAATTCAGATTTATCTCTAATCAAGCCGCTCCCGGGAAGGTACAGGTTTCTAATACACGACATACCTGAAAGGGTGTCTGTTATGGTATCAACATGACGCCGGAGCTGATTGTCCGTTAACGGGCCCTCGAAAGCATGTAATGTCAGACATTCCCTTATAATGTGACGAAAGCAGTAGTCAGCGAACAAGCTACTAAAGTAAAATCTGTCAGCACGCATACAGACAACCACTTTAGCCGCATACGATGGCGGCTGAGAATTAGAACTAGCAGCGCATGTCAACGTGTTTGGTTGATGAGAAACGGCAGGTACTTGTAAAGTATGGATGGAAATGTGGCACATTTCTAGTCGAGTGCCCGGAGAATGCCGGTATGTTACCAGTAACACTCGCCGGAGCAATACATGCTAAACAGCCGATGGGTACGATACAACTCGTAGCACCACATATCCAAAGAGAGTGAGTGCTCTGTATATACATAGTAGCACTTGAATCGGGAGCCAACGCGCAACCGCAACCTTAATGCGACAGTAATGTTCTGCAGTCAGGATCATGTTAGATATCAGATTCATACAAGAATGAGCTTATACAATCAAAGTCAACACTCACAGTAAAAGACGGTTCAACGTCTGCTCATCACAGGGTTAAATGGTATAACCAACACAAATCACGTTTTCTTATGTCCAGCCTTCGAATCACAACCTAACAGTCCTGACTAGCTACAATAGATAATTGGATTGCAGAAGATAGACCAAGATATCCTTTATCAATTATTTGGGGGCGCACAATATGCTGATACGAAAGTTTGCCCGTGGATCAGTGATCAGTGAAGTTGAAATTCGATGGAAAGAACTATAAAATTATAAAATTATGATTCTCAATGGACTAGCGCTGATATTTGCACACGATACCGCGCGTGATGATACTTTTTCTATATCCACGCCCATGTCACTATAAGAAGACAGAACAACGCCATTCCTTGAAGGATGTTCTTTGACATTCTGATTTTGAATAGTCAGTAGGTACCAGACTTGAACACGACAAATTCCCCATTCCGCCGATGTGAGACGACAAGACATATGCATGTGCAGTACTTCTGCACACCCATACACACGTAGAGTGATATTGTTTTGATTCAACTGTATGAGTGAAATCGGGAGGCGAATATTACTGTCATTGGCGAATTCTGATACAACGCACAATTACTGCATTCAGCTCTCGCAAGCCAGGTGATTGAATGAACTTTGATGAGAATGTATTTGTCCTATCTCGCACTAATGATCATAATTTTGCAAGCATGTTTAGCTTCAAAGTGGTATCGCACCGTAGCGATGAAACAACAGAGCATGCACATGAACCCACTCTCACAAAAAAAATACAAAACTTGCATTTAATTTTCTTAGTAGAATATAATTTGGTATATACTGTGCTTGACATGCTTCTACAAAACATTGTTGACAAGCACTAATGCATCAGCAGGTCTGTGGCAGTAACAATTGTATTTGGTACCTTATGTGGTCTCGAAGACGCCGTTTGTTGGTACAAAGCACTGCCATGTTGTTGATTCGTGCAATTCGTGGCCGGCATCTCTATCGGGATGCAATTTTCCTGAACCGAAACCTTGCTATTGTGTACTGGATGGCGACTGGGCGCTGTATTGTGAGGTTACACTCATAATGTAATCTCAACCAAGCTTCTACGGACTTGCGTCCGAGGATTTCTTTCTTCTCTCTACTGTCCACTAGATGTAGAGAGGGCCAAACCCAAACTGTAAAGAGATACTAGTCCCCACACTCTCTGTGCTAGAGTGTAGTAGAATTTCAAAAGGTGGTAATCGGTATACTACGTACCAGAACGCAAATCAAAATGTGATATGATATTGATGACATCAGCAATTTATAAATTTTGGCGGCCAGCTTTGAGTCCCGGTATGCGAACTAAATTTGTAGTACCGGTACGACAGAAACCAAGCAACCAAGAGAGAACGATTGGTATTTATTATGTATCGCCTCTGCGCCTGTTTGGCTCCGGCGGGCTCCACTATACCGTTGGAATGCCGCGAACCAACGAAAATGTGCCATTTCTTTCTATGCTACTACCTCTTAGGAGTTGTTTTGAAAATAAAGCACAAAGAAATGCAGATAATCAAATTCAAATAAATATTTGGATTTTTGTACGCTGAACTCCTTTAGTGTCAATGAACTATTCACACACTCGCTTATTGCATGTTGACTACGCAGAACCGGACAATAGAACAAATTCTTACAGGTGGTATATACACAGTTTACGACACTATGTCTAGCGCTACCTTACGATCACGTGGCGGCAGTGGAGCCGGTGGCATGCTCAAACAACGTAAAGGAGAATCAGGTAATTGATTTAAGGCCAATCAGGTGATCAGTAGTATCAAGACGTAGCGTATTAGAATAGAATAAACAATGATACAATCGAGTGAATTCTAGTGTATTTCCGAGTAGCGGGTAGGCTGAATTTATATATGTATATATATATATATATATATATATATATGTAACCTGATGGGCACAAGTATCGTTAGATCGTGATGTCGATTTTATCAAACAAAACGAAACTCCAGCGTAATAAAGAAACAATAACGCTAGTGTAGCCACACCAGTTTCTTCATCCATACTAAACGAATATCTCTCTCAACAGTTACGCGTGCCCCTTCCAACGCTCACGATGTCCGTGACGAAGCGGAGCTCGAAGAGAAATACGGCAAGGACTGCAAGTTGACACTAATGGATGAAGTATGTTTTTAAAGTGGAGTTTGTTGTTTGTGTATTGATTTATAAACAGTTAAAATCGAGAGAGAGAAAAATGAATTTTCGTCCAAAATCAGATATAATAATGTGTCGTGTATGTCATATTCCATGTACATGGTGGAGTGTACATGCGCTCCAATAACTTGCTTCCACTGTATGTAAACAAACTTTAGTAGTGGAAATTTGCTACGATCACGAGAGCTATGATATAGTGATATTAGTACTCCGTTCCAACTTCTATCTATAGAATATATCTACGAAGAATGCAAAAGCAGTACAGTTGTATCAGTATGCAAAATCGCACAACATATTGCGATATGGTCTAAATAGGAAAATTTGCTAGCAGCTTTCTAATGTTGTCAATATTATTTTGTATTACTCGCACTGGTAGATGATGCTAATGGGTCTGGATCCCAAAGCAGGATATACTTCATTTTTTAATGACTCAATCTCTACCGGTTTGAGAGGGGCAGTCCTGATCGAATTGGCCCTTAGGAATAGAATCGGGTATGTCAACTGTGCTGCCAGAAGTTACTTCGGATATTAGGAGAGTACTGTTTTATATTGGCATGTATTGTTGCCAGCAAACCAATAAGACTTATGTATTGTTTTATAGATGAGTAAATCTAAAGAATATCACGCAACAGATTCTAATTGAGACCGCTTTCGTCGAATTTCTAAAGCCTCAAAACGACGAATGGAAGTCGCAATCTTTCCTTGGATAGAAGGCCCGTCGTAGTGCTCGATAGTGCCCCAACCGGCGAAGTTGTACTAGATGAAGCGCTGAAGAACATAGGCTCATGTTCGGAAACAGTTGCAACCTGGATTGAATATCTTAGTGGTGAGGCATGGAACCCGCTCAAGCTGAAATACCAGGTGAGTATATAGTCAATCGCATTTTTTGCGGATGCGAACACTATTGCAGAGAAACATGCTATTGAATATATTTGAGATCAGTTTGTTCCATCGAAATTTCGATTCCTCCATCGACTAAGCACTGACGTAATAATATATTGATTCAGCTTCATCACGTAAGAGAAAGGCTATCAAAAGGCCTTTGCGAAAAAGGGATACTGACTACGGCACAACAGAATTTCTACGTATTTGACGTCACTACACATCCTGTCATCGATGACAAAGCACGAGATGAAGTGACATTAAGGCTTCAGGTACGTCGATCTGCATTTCATTCCATCTCAGTGAGCAAAGTATCAGCGATGTGTTCAGCTGGATCTGGCGATCGCTTTTGATCGATATACTTTAATCATATTCACAGGATTCATTGATGAGTAAGTGGCAATCGGACAAAAATAGAATTGATGACAGAGATCTGGCCCGAATTATATTAGCCCATGCTTCCGATGTTCTCGATCAAACGTTCTCCGAATTAGAAGGTAAATTCGATATATATTGTTTGCAAACGAGTCTGATTAGCGCGACTCACATTGCGATTAAAATATGTGTTTATGTGTCAATATAACGTGTTAGATTAATATATATATATATATTACCGTCTGACACACGCGTCATCACATTCCAGATGAAGCATACGAGCTTGCTACAGAGCACGCTCAGGAGATTCTAGACGCGGATGCCGACTACGAATATAGGCGAGGCGACAACTGCAACGAAATTGTCTGGGCAGTGAAGGACTTCTTCACAGAGCTGTGAATCGCGACTAACCCAAATACTGCAGTGTCAAACGCTTCCAAAACTTTCCATTCAATGAACATAGGCCAAACTTTTGCAACGAGGTCACCGCCGATGCATGCAAACTACAGTCAAGCATGCAACCGCAGCTTTGCATTGCTTCTACTAAATATATTAAGAACAGTACATAAACGAAGAGCGAGTACAGAGCAGACTGAAGGTTTTAAAGCCAAATTTAGTTCAAAATGACCGGATATCTATCGTTCATCGAAGTAAGTAGCAATCACTCGTTGCAGTAGGTAGTTGGTGCCTAAACATAGAACCACTAGATCAGTTTGTTGCTCGGTATGCACTGCTTAAGTAGTCGATGAGCTGCACAGCACATAGCTCGATATCACCCTTCGCATAGCCGGCCAGCTGCATCACTGCCATACACATCAGCAAAGCAATGCACTAAGTTTCTTTTGAAATTAGAGAATATCGAATCAGGGATATACTGTGAAAACTCACTAAACCTATATTGGAGGTGGCAAATGTATTGAAAGCAGCGTAGTTCAACGTAGCAGCACTGCCGTATTTACGACGGTAAACATCGTCCGGATCAGTACAAACATATCTGTGAATAAAAGAACTCACATATGGCGACCGTACTATCCGAGTCCGCGCTTCTAGGAGAGAGATATTCTGCTACAGCAATCACTCCAGCGGCACACGCCCCAGGCGTACTAACATGACATCAAGGTTAGGTTGAGTGAGCTCATTTTGTGTCAAAAGCACTCAGAAGGTCCTCAAAGTAGGGGAGAATGGATATGATCGCTCAGGGCTCACGATGTCTCTGCCGAAAGAGCTCTAGTAGCTGTCGTGGACCACATCATGCAAGCTCGGATAATAATATATTTACTCAATACAGGTACCCCCAGACTATTCAAGTATGATTTATTAGTGTCACGCACACCTGAAATAGCCGCTCGTGAACATGGCCAGCTCAAGAAGGTCTTCGCAGTGTGCTCCCATGGCCATCCGTTCCTCTGCCGTTTGCGAAGGCCTTGAGCGTACATTTCAGATCAGGCATTAAGTCATAATTCAACAGCAGTGGTAGATGCAAACATGACGAATAGCGATACAAGCCTATGTGTATATCCTTGTATATATTACCCACTACTGTCACTACAATGAATTGCGTTGTTCGGTGTGCTGTTTGCTGTGCTATACCTGAAAGAAGCGAGAAGAAACTGCATCACATCATAGTTTGTTGTGTATGTCGTCTCATAATCGATCGTTTGGAGAACGTTCACCTCCGACTGGGTGTGGAGCAAAAGAGATACTGATTCTTAGCGATTTTTTCCTTTACCTATTGGTGCAATCTGCATGCTAGCTGTAGGCCGATTGTAATTTAAAGACCTCGTTGATATGCTTGTGAATCTGAATAATGTCATTGTACAACTGATGTCGAGTACATTCACCTCGAGCTATTATATAGCTGTGCAGTGGTCTGACCTCAGACTAATATTCCGGACAATATATTTCCATGTATCCAGATCGAGTTGATCGCCGATAGCTAGGTATGATTCCGGTTTAGTAGTTTGATAAGTTAAGGCAGTCCAAGCAAGTAGTTGGATAAGTATCCAAGTTTTTAAGACATACAGATCTGCAAGGACGTATGAGTAGTGGCAAGCCTCTAGAATACTCCTGTACCCAGTAGTCGTGACGATGATCCACAGTATCCTATAAGACTAGTACGTGCTGGCGTAAAAATCTTACACTTGTCTGCGTTCGATCATTGCACTTAGTGATTCGCGAGTTTGATCCTACTATTATATTCAAGTGCTTTCGAAAAAAAGTTACATAACCATTTCTGGTAATGACAACAGTCGACATTAAGTAAATTGGTACCTGCAGTAACTGTCCCCCGATGGCTGAGTGGTGTTTTGAGTTGAAGATAGGCTCTTTGCCTCTCGCTCGCAAAGGCTCGGACGACGACAGCTGCGAAACGTCGGCAAAAGTCGTTGCGGAAACAGGCAACATCGTATAGTCGTCAGTCGGAAGTTAAACTATTACATTGTAAAACAGTTGGACGTATATATCAACCTTCGTAATTCTGATCCATTTCCACTGGAGGTTTCGTAGTCACGTACGTTGTCGAACACGGACTTACCTTCGCAGCAATCCGCACACAGCAAATCGCACCCATTGTGAGCTCCTGCAGTTGCCTTAAGTATAATATGGATATGTCACCCACAAGTGTAGGTCACGCAAAAACAACAAAATAACATACAAATTTAATGCGCGTGCTAATATGAATCATCATAAGCATCAAAGCCTGCACAGTGTAGTGCGTTTCACTATAGGATGGGATTGGTCAAACGTCACAGCCGACCAAGACAAACAACAGGTACACCCGCTTACTGTTTCTGGTCTAGGACCTCCTGACCGGTTCGCAGGCGATTGTTGATCTTCATGGCCGTATATTTCGAGAATAAATGAAGCGCTAATTGGGACGATTAGTGACCACATATCAGGGCCATATGCCACACGGAATAGTCTCACGTCGCTGTGCACATGTGGTGTGTGTATTCTATGGCTTCACAGTATGGTAAGCTTTCATACGCCTTGTGAACCCTGCCAGGGCCCACACACATCGCAAGTGCTGATCTCGAACGGCCGTGTACTCTTTTCTCGATGGAAGCGCTGAACAACATAATGCTATAATAGCAATTCATGTGATATACGCGATGGTGATCCACGATTGGCGGTCTTGACTAGTCATACAAGATCAAGGATATGCATGCGATAGTACATGCGAAGCTCTGAATCATAACTCTGGACCTCGGCAGTTGTGCTGCACTGTGGGTGTTTTACTTCAAATCTGCGTAAAGCAGTGTCACGAAATACCAAAATCGCTGAGCATACAGTTAGTGCATCTTGTTGAAGCGATGTATATAGACACTGGTATAACTGGGAAGCGATTTGAACATAATAGACCGGACTAGTACATAAACACATTTGTGATGGAATATTGTGATATCACGTGATACGACGCGACTGTGCGCCGACTCAATTCAGAAACAACAGCGAATAGAGTGTTACCGCTATGAATACATATACGGAGACTGAAGATCGCACTGCGCCGCCTCAGTTCGTTTGTAACTGCACATCCCACACATATCATCGACACTTCAAAACAAATCGTCCCATGCTCCACTGAAGATAATGAAGTTTGCAATTTATTCGAATCGCACCGGGCAAAAGTCCTAACGAAGCCCAAAAGGTGCCTTGTGGCACGATTCTTACCATGGAAGGAGGCTTCTGAACGCCCAAGTTCATCACAAAGGCGAAAGATGTAATCTGCAACACAATCGCAGACAGTATTCAATGATATGTGGCCTCCACCTGTAGAGTACCATATGCGTGCTTCCAGACAAATGCCAAAGAATCAACAGTATCCGGTCGAGTGTAATGGTACAGACCTGTAGTGTTCTGATTATTGCAGGACGCAAGTCTCCATAAAACATACCTATTTTTAAAAACCAATACAGGTGCTGCTGAGTACTATCCCTTGATGAGAATTCTGGTCATTTCGAGCAACCGAAATAAATTGCAAACATGCCTGAATATATACACACCAGCAGTAACTCACAGGAACACAGTAAGCTATCATCACAATCCTCTACACTTACACAAAATCGAATATCGAAAATTTAATCTATACGTTAAGAGCCAACCTGCGCATTCAGGGATGAAGACTTCCTTTGTGCAGTTGATGCCCTCGCGTCGTTCTTGCAGTTTGTTGTGAGAGCTCGTCACGATGTACTGTGCAACATCGCACTCCATCTCAGGCTTCAGCTTCATACTGATGAATTGTAAAAAGCCGGCGTTGGCGTATGTCCCAATATTGATAAGAACAGGTTAAAACACACAAGCCATCTACAGAAACGAATATATTTTTTATATTATGCATTCGCTACCATCAGATACGACTAGCCGAAGTTGTATGTTATGTACCCGTGCGGATGAATAGAACGTTGCAAAAGACTCCTATTGACTTTGAAGGAATTTTAGTAAAGTCGTGCGTAATATTCGACTGGCTTAAGTACGTCAGTATTATTTATATTGTCGCAAGACTATGCGAATCTGTGATCAGTGGTGTAGTTCTGGCTATGTAGCAGTCGAATGTGACTTTTACTTGTACGTTTTATTTTAAAATTGTTTTTACCAAGTCTCATACAGCACGCAACTTGTCAGTGTAATATGAACAGCAACTTGGGATCTCTCGACGACAGTTTTATAAATATATGGATAAGCTTTCAGGGGAATGGCGAAGATACTTACTTGTTCCCACAAATCTCCATTTAAGACTATATATACACAGCTCTCGTCGAATCCAAACGAAATTACATTGTGAGCAGCATTCTACTATAAACATGAAAAGCACCCGTGAAAAGTGTGCAATACCTCGGTTGGTATTGTCAACCGTATCAGTGTGTAGAAGAAGATTAAACACCAGCAGTGTATATATGTTTAACGGGGAGAGGTATATCCTGCGATTGTCTACCTTGACCTCAGTCTCAGACGAACAGCACACGAAAGTTGCAATTCTGAACTAATAATGAGGCCTGCGACCACCTGCCGGCCTGGGAGTGCTAGACTGCTGGCCGATATATACACTGCTGTTGTACTCAGTGAGCTGTGGCAGTCTGCCAGTGTCTGAACAGGTGCAGGCCTGAAGCCTATGTATGTCGCACTGCGGAATAAAAAGCGAAAATTATCAATCTATCGTGTGGATCACTTATGAGTAATAAAGTGATTACATTCTTGTTTATGATAAATACATATTTTCATATATTTTTTTTTAAAAACTCTGCAAGGACAATACGTGGAATGTGTAACGATTCACTACAAATTAGATACGCACAGTGTTTACAAGCTTCACAACAAAGAATAATAAGCTAAAATAGTAAACGATGGGAATATGCTGCGGTAGGCCCTCAGAAGAGGAAGAAGAACGCATGCGCATGGAAGCCCTGCCAAAAGTGCTCATTGATGAAAATTACAAAGGTAATATGTGTGAGAAACATAGTCAGTCTTTGTGAGCGTATAATGGCATAACGTACAAAACAATATGCAGGTGTACTCATACAGTATGCAGGTGTACTCATACAGTATGCAGGTGTACTCATACAGTATGCAGGTGTACTCATACAGTATGCAAAATACGACAAGCTAATGTGAGCCTAGTACGACATAGTCTATCCATTAAATATTGCTTGCATACCAACCACCCACGAAATGTTTGCGTACTGTTCGTACCGCATGCTTTTCTCGTCGAATTATACAACGTGCTCATGAACATAGATTACACGCATCTTTGCAGGTCCTAACGTCGTGGTCGACGGAGGGCTATGTGTCAGGGGCAGAGGCGCTGCTTTGGCCAACGGTCCGCTTGTGCAGGACCAAAGCTACTGGGAAGTCAAGGTTAAATCTGGAGGTATGTGGGATAATTCCCTATAGCTCTCAAATGTACCGTCTCACATACTGGATTACGTTGCCATTAAAAATGTTGTGTATGTGTGTGCTGTTGTGTTTAAGTTCCAATGCGCAGGATCTTTAACTGCCAATAACTCTATGTTTCTTACCATTAAACGAGTTCCCTGGCTCTAAGCTATGCTTGCGATACCTTTAGCGGCACTTGGTGCGGTTGATCACTGATTGTTGTAGCCATGAAATACGCGTGCGTAGACGCGAAGAACAGTTTTCTTGGAATTATCATACATTTAGGGCGTGTATCTCATAAGTGTCGATTTCTACTCACGTATGACAGAGTTGGTTTTGAACTTCGAAGTGATACCTGAACAATCGGGTTTGTATATAAAAGCGCAGGCTTATATTCAACACCACCATGTCAGATGCACCTTAGTGACATCTGTCACCTGTGTATATCGCGAGAGTTTTTGCTTTTTGAGAGCTCACTTCGATCGATTCAATCGCCCACAAACCAGGATCATGGGGGCTGGGAGTGTCACTTCGAACAGAGGATCTCAAATCTGTTCCTCTTGGACAAGGGAATCAAAGCTGGGTATTTAGGAACGATGGAGAGATCTATCACTGCGGCGAAGCGTACACACAATATGCTGACAAAATTGCCGTTAAAGAGGGCGACGTAATAGTATGTTTTCTGTATAATTGCAACTGGTCGAAATGTAGATGCATATTTCTGATGGATGAAGTGTTTGTAGTGTGTATCTATTCGTATACATGGGTGTCGGTATCGTATAGGTTGATTGTGTGGAATAGGGTTCGAATATGTCTATCTAGTATTGATCTGTCAATGCTAGGAATTTAATGCTTTACTGTGTCTATTTTGTGAACACATAGTAATGTATTTATACTCCTCGTGCGTGTCCACTGGGTTTTTGTGAATGCTGATGTGTACTTATGGCCATATAATCACTCTCGGCTGTGTATGTCGATAGATGTGCATGAGTATATGTGTACAGGTGCATAAATGCATATTAGGCATACAATAGCCTGTGGTGCCCACATAACTTCGAGTATGTAGATGTAGATATATATATATATATATATATATATATATATATGCACCCTGAGTGTATCAGCCGTTGCGCAAATTCCACTAGCGAGGCATGTTTGATGATGTACATATCTCTATTTGAGAAGGTGATGCTGAGCTTCTTCATCGTGACCATTCTGACACTATCGAATTTTGGCTGTTTTATTACATATTTTAATTTTCGTTTACCGAATTGAGCTGAGTATTCTTGAGTGATTTACACGTTCGTCGTGCCTGAAAATGTGTCTTTGTGTTATTCCATACTCTTATTACATTACAACAACGGTACAGCACAGCGTCATACCTAGTCCTAGTGCATTTATACTTACTCGTATATATAACGCTCTGCAGGGATGCTCTTACGATCACGTTGACTTACATTTCTACATCAACGGAAAGCAGTTGGAGTGCTCGGTGATGACCGTCAGGGGTAAAGTGTACCCCTCTGTATACGGTGAGTATTGGCACGCGTGCAATACATGTTATATATCTTAGAGACATACATTACACGTTTGGTCTTCTACTTTGCTACACAAATCGCTCCGCAATACACGAAAAATCATCCTCGTATGATTCTTTGAGCCTGTATAGCCAGCCTCTTTTAAAAGAAGCGCATTACATGATGTCATATAGTTTTCAGGACCTCTAATGTGCCCGCCATTCTCTCTTACCCTCCACGTCACCTCCCTAGTTGACAACGGTGCTGTGCTGGATTGCGAGTTCACAAACTTCGCACACCCGCCGCCCAGGGGATACAGCCGAATCATGTTCGAACAGAGCCTTCTTTGAGCTGTGAACACAATCATTAGCGACTATTCCTCGGCGTGCAACGACAATCGAGACAAGGTAGTTTGGCGGTCAGACAATGGAAATCAACATAGCTCGGGTGAATACCTTTGACCTTCAAAGCAATCCCGTAAACACCGGTATCCTTCGTAAATGTATATTATTAGACGTACATGAAGTTGAGAAGCCGGGAAGTTAGACTCGGTGTCAAATATTATTGAACTGTGCGTGCAGCGGCAACACAATGGTCTTCAAGCATGGGCGAGCTGTAGTTTCGGCGGGACCTTGCAACTAGTGGTTTACGCTCGTAGCAGACTACATCCATTCCCAGCATTTACCTAAAAGGGTAATGTGGAGGCGTGGAGATCTCATGCCACATGTGAAGAGCAATGAGCTAGAAGTATCACAAAACACCCAATATGGCACATTAGCGACGAAACGTACTGTATGTCAAGCACAACTACTTCAATCGCACGCGCGGTTACAAACTCGAGTCTATACATAAGGAGGGGCATAGGATAAGACGGTGAACTGAGCTCGGCAGGAATTTAGTTCATGAAAGATATGTTCGGGTTAATCTTTGTTATGTGTATCAGGAGCAGCATAGTCGGTGGGGGTCGACTATGAGCTTAACAGTGTGGTTTGTAGAAATCGTAGGGTTGGTAGGCTGGCGCACAGTGTTAGTTCATTATCGCTCAGGGTGGTATTGGCGATGTAGAATACATGAATGGCTTTCCAATGCAAACATCTAAATTTCACCGATTTGTATGCGTGACAATTTAAAATTTGCTAGCTTCTGGCAGAGGAGCAAGGCAAGAACACTGGAAGACAGCCGGGCTGCACTGTGCTAGCAAGCAATAGTTATCTGGTTGGTTGACAGAATTCCATGCGATGGATATGGAGACAGAGATCGATATTTGCGATAAAGAGAAAGACACCGCGATAGTTTGCTAAACCTCAGATGCATCATATGCGCTCGCAGGCAATCTCTAAGCGCTTGCTAAATGCATCTCCATGAGAATATGCAGACTACCGCTTTTTGTTCAGTGGACAAACCTGAGGGAACTTTGAGTAACATAAACTTTAAACAAACGAAGTGGTCGCATTTAATCATTACAGCGAGCTTCTAGTCCAAAGGCAGATAGAGCGGGAGGTGATGTCGGCGATAAGCGTCGATCCATTTAGCCAGGCTTCTGACCACTTGTAATGGAATAAATGGAGGGCTGCAAACATATCCCTCCTTTCAGATCGCTGAATGTATATACTAGTGTTTCTCATCGCCGTGATCGCCGTGACCATGGTGGTCCCAAGGATGTGAAAATCCCTGTTGGAAAAACGGTGGAGTTAGATGTGAGCTGTTAATTGACCGTGCCTTGCGATAGCATCCGAGATCGTGCGTGCTTACAGAATACATACGACTATGTATACAACACATGCAAAATATACTTTTAGATCTTTCGAATTTGATAAACATATAAGAAAATGCATATCACTCTTATAATACATTGGACATGTTACTGTATATCACCTAGACATGCTATTTGCGAGTTGGTGGATGTTTAACTGTGCATCACCTAGACATGAGATTTCCGGATTGTTAAGTATGGATGTCATACGTAGAAGTACAGATGAATACTCAGATGCACATAAGGCCATGTAAGTAATACAGCAACCATGGATACACTCTCCAATAGATATGAAGTTGTATACAGCAGTCTTAATATTTTCTATTTATTGATCAGAGCGGATGTGTATGTCGCTTTGCAACTTGTTCAGAAAATATGCAGATATACCGCACAAACTTGCCATATAAAACAATACGTGATTTTATGTTATA